AAGGGAATTAGGGCCAGATTTTTAAAGGTATTTAGGTTCCTAACTCCCATTGATTTCTATTGGCATTAGGTGTCCAAATACCTTTAAAAAGCTACCCTTAGAGCCCATTCCCACTTCCTTGCATATTCCATGTTCCCATTCACTTTGCTGGGAGCGTTAGGAGTGCACGGAATGTAATATTGGGCCCTAAAATTATCAACATTATTCTTTTAGTGATGTGACTTGTGCATTTAGTGTTGGATCCTACACTCGTTGAAATCAAAGGCACAGCTCTAACTGATGTTAGTGGTGCAGCATCAGGGCATTCATGTTTTTCTCATTTAAAAAATAAAAAATGAGGAGACTAATTTGTACGAAGTGTTCCTTGTTGGAGAAAAGGGCGCAAGACTTACTGATTTCTGTATCACGTTTCCCTAAAAACAAAAACAAAACAAAAAACCACACAAATAAATATAAATTATGATTAGGAGCATTTTTCTCTTGGATATACGGTTGTCTGAGTTTTGTGAAAGTTGAACATTGTGTATAACTTTTCATATTACCTGTTGGGGTGAAATTTAACAGGCTTAATCTCATCCCAATTTCCTTTTAACATTAAATGAAAAAATGAACAACTCCTCCTCAAATAGAATTACACAAAAGATCCAGGTTGGACCAAACTATTTACTTGTCTGATGGGGCAATAGGACATTTGAGGGCACAGAGTCCTCCTGGTCCCCCATGTCACGGTGCCTCCAGCACCACGTGGATTTCACCCTCAGAGAAACAAAGAACATTTTCTTTCTGATTTCCTCTTACCCACATACTGAATCATTATCAATACATTATCACTGATATTTCATGTGATTTTCAAATTGATCTCTCTAATAATAATCATAGATAATAAAAACAGCAAACAACTGAATGGAAAAGGTTCTATGTGGAGAAAAATTGAACTTACTGATTTCTCCAAGGTGTTTACCTAAAGAAATGAAATAAAGCAAACAGATGTAAATACAAGTTATTTAAGAATATCTTCAGTTAATGGAGATTTAAAGGAGTGTTTTCATGATATGAACACCTGGCCCCTAAATACAAAACATTTCATTCATGTTTTATTAACCATGTGGCCACACAAGAGTTAGGTGTCCAACTGTAATTGACTATTTACAATTCTGGAAGGATTTACAATTCTGAAAGTTTTGAATTCCTTATGGAATTAGGGTCTAACTTTTCAAGACATTTAGGTGGCTTTGCTGGGAGCTCTGGGGGTGCAGACTGGGATTTCTGGTCCTCAAGTTATCAGCATTATTTTTTTAGCGTTATGACTTCTGCATTCAGTGCTTAATCTTATACTCATTGAAGTCAATGGCAAAGATCTAACGGATGTTAGGGATGCAGTATCTGGGCTTTCATCTTTTTCTGGTTAAAAATCTCCTCCCAAAAATTTCATAAATAAAAACAAAGAAATACCCTTATGAGGAGACAAATTTGTAGAAAAGTTTTACTTGTTGGAGGAAAGAACATGACATTTACAGATTTCTATATCCCGCTCCATTAAAAATAAACAGAAATAAATATAAATTCTTATTAGAAACATTTTTGCCTTGGTTCTACAGTTGTCTGCATTTTGTGAAAGTTGCACAGTGATTATACAATTCATGAGCCTTTTAGGGGTTTCATGTTCTCAGCACCAGGAGAAAAAGGTTTTCCCTTCTCCATCTCTGACTTATTATTTCCGACCATTGTCAGAACTCAGGTTCAGGCTCAGAGGTCAGGTCTATTCAGACCCCTCTTTTCTACTGTGTATATTTTTAATATTACCTATTGGGGTGAAATTTGCCAGGCTTTGTCTCATTCCAATTTCTTTTTAACAGTAAATGAAATCACAGACAACTGCTCCCAAAATAAAATCACACACAATCATTATGGGGACCCATATCTTTACGAAACATTTACTTATCAGAGCAGGGAAAAAGACATTTTCTAATTCCTCAAGTCCATAGGGACTGCGGAGGGAATAACTGCACAGCTGGGTGGGAAGTGGTCAGAAAAGAGTGAGGAGTGGAGAAGGTTTTGGATCAATCTTCCCTCCACCCCTTCCCCAAGTGCTCCATTCAACTTAACTGAGGCAGTTCTGGGGGAGAAATATTCTGTGCCTGTAAAGGGCTGATGCAGATCACTGCCTCCTGGAGCAAAGGGGCACCTTAGTAATGTTTCCTTCCCTGTGCTGCTGAGGGGAGCACAGTGCAGGTCTGTGCTTCCCCTGCTTGGCCTAGTGTAAAATTTCATTCTTCCCTTTTTTCATTTATTAGAAGAAAATTTCTTGTTAATTTCACACAATTTTCCCCTGTGACATTTACCTTTCATTTTAAATAGATAAACAGTGAGGCCAATGAAACAAACAAACAAAACCAGGAGAATCACACTCAGAGCCACAATCCATGGATTCACCCGTGGGAAAAAGAAATCTGAAAAATAAACCGCACAGGATTTGCATTAGTTTGGAAGCAGGGACAACACTAATTTTTTCTCTATTGCACGTAACTACGTAAATAGTCCCCAGCAGGACGTATGTGAGATAAAAGTGAAAACAGGACCCCCTTTATGCTACACAAAAGACCAAAACCTGATTGTAAAAATTACTCCAACCAACATAGCTTTAGCACTGATTAACCTGAGAACAAACAGGCCTGGTTTGATTCATGGTATTCAGAGCTTTGAGTTCAGGAGCAAATTCTCTGCTTACAAAACCACACTGACTTCAGTGGAGTTATGCCAGCAAACAATTTGGTCCTCACTGTTCAGCCACATTCAGAAATTGCAGGAGTAATTAGAATATTTTGGTGAGTCACTAATAATTTCCCCAATTATTTTGATGAACCATAATCGCAATTAATCCAAACATTAAGTGCTGAAAATTGATTCTTCTTTTGCCATTCTTGTGTTTACAGCATTTAAATCATCTAGTCAGGGTGGGCATTTCAAACATGCCTAAGGCCTTGGTTTGCGCACTGGCCTGCTCAACCCTGGGTTGTGAGTTCAATCCTTCAGGGGGCTATTTAGGGAAGTGGGGTAAAAACCTGTCTGGGGATTGGTCCTGTTTTGAGCAGGGGGTTGAACTAGATGACCTCCTGAGGTCCCTTCCAACCCTGATATTGTATGATTCCACACAGGATTTGTGCACTGGTTTAGTGAAATTGGTGTAACACTCATGCAGTCATTGTTACATTGATTCCACAGCTGACCACATAACAGGACTGCCCCAATTTAACTCAACTGGCCGAATAGTGTCCTTTATCCATTTAGTATAAATCAGTAAGGAACTGACTTAAGCTAAAAACATAGGACACTCTGAAATTGAAATAAGAGCATTCAAACAAGGGGTTTCATCAATAACTCAGTAGATAATCAGTGCAGCCTGTGTGTGTGTGTGTAAACAAAGGCAAAGTGAGTTATGAGCACAACTCCCATTGAATGTCAACGGAAACAAGCCCACATAATTTGGTGACATTTCGCTTATTGAAAAGGTAGCAAACAAACCATAGTGTAAAAATTGCTACATTCACAAAATCACTGTGGTGAAGTTAAGTTTGTAGGAACAAACTCTTTCAAGGTTTGGTGAATATTTCTTCTCAAAAATCATACTTAAAAAAAAAAGTAGGAGTTTCAGGAGTATCAGAGTTAAGATTAAATTTACATGAAACCCAAAACTCTGAATATTCAAAATTAAGGCAATCAGATTGCCCAAGTTGTGACCTGTTAAGGTAGCAGTTTCTGAACTTCTTTGTTTTTATGTAGTTGTAAAATATGCACAACAGATGCTTCAGTTCTTTGTTTCCTATGTTTTGTTTTCTTTCTGCTGAAGGTGATTTAAGGATGTGGGTTTAGCTGGTAACTGACCTGCTATATAAACTGCTGATTCCTTTTCTTGATTGAGAACGGTGTTCCTGATCCAACAGGACAGGTTCTGGTTTGAACGTTCTTTTATAATAATAGAATTTTCTGTTTCAAACAGGCCACTATCCCCTAGGGATTTTGCTTCAGAGAGTGATGGTAATTCTTGCCCACTGAGATCTCTCCATAGCACCTTGGGCTCTGGATACCACCCAGACGATTGACAAACCACCCGGATCCCTCCATCCTGGTGACTCGTCACAGAGATGAGAGGACTGGCGCCCAAAGCTAGAGGAAAATTACATAAATGTGTGATAAATCAATGGGATAACTTAACAGCTAAAAGGATGAGTGATAGATTGTGGATCCCTTACTCTCATGAGAGATCACTTGCTCATGCAGAAAGGATAAATGAACACTGGAATTTCTGAATTCCCAATACGCATCGACACAGGAAAAGATGTGAACAAATATTTAAAATAATTTCACTGAATAAGTGAGAGATATTGTCCTCTCCACCCAAGAGCAATGGAGCATTGAACAAATTTGGAAATCCGGCCACTTCATTTAAATACCTAGTGGGATATGAATTTTTCAGAGAGCCAGTTTTTAATATATTGGATAGACATTTTGTTTGTTCTATTTTTAAATAAATAACTAAATCTAACTGGCTCCATGGTTATTGTGTCAGAGCAGCAGGGGACAAACACTCGGACTCATCCACTAGCGGTAAATACATAATGTCTCACCTCCTCACCACCATCTTTATGTGGCCTCAGCCAATCAGAAAGCTACAACTGATTTTGACTGCACTCCAACTAGCTACCAGTAGTGACCACATCAGAAGGCCATGTAAACCTGGCAGTCCCATCTTAGCCACACCTCAAAATGACTGCAGAGAAATTGGAAGACCATGGGCTGTACATACTTGAAAGGCTACAGCAGCACAGCTTCACTGCTGTGGTGCTTCAGTGTAGACACTACTTACATCAACAGAGGACTTATCCTGGTGTCATTGGTAATACACCTCTCTGAGAGGCAGAAGCTAGGTTGACAGAAGAATTCTTCTGTTGACCCCAGCACTGCCTGCATGGGGACTTAGGTCAGCTTAGTTTTGTCACTCATGGGGTGTGTATTTTTCACACCCCTGAGAGAAATAGTTAAGCTGACCTACTTTTCTAGTATAAACCAGGCCCATATTTGTCTAGAAGTCTTTTCCCTCCTTTTGAAGTCAGCCAAAAACATCTTTTGGGCAAGAAAGTCTCTTGACCATTCTGAAAATGTCTTTAATAGAACACTGGGAAAGTTTTCAGCATATTTTCCAAAGTGTATGAATGTGGTCATGTGCTGAAATCTGGTCACACTCTGTTACTCTAAAATAATTCACAAGTTGCTAGTCACAGTTGTTGCAGTAGAAAAGAACAAAAACTGCAGCCCAGACTAAGATAATACAGACAAGAGCAGCTGACCTGCTACCTTCAGTTCCAATAGGGCTTCTTCATAGAAAGAACCATCTTGAACAAAACAGTAGTATTGTCCTTCATCTGAGCGTCTGATATTAA